TATAAATTAAATACATAGTTCAAATAAATAAAAAAAGTGAAATCTAAAAATAGATATTAAAGGAAAAAACTAACCGTGGCCATAGCTACACCCTATAATAATTTTTTAATTAATTAGATTAGCAAACTTCGAAATGAGAAAAAAAAAAATTTAAAGTCAAACAAAATTTCTTACCCAATTCTCAAATTTTGGTACCAATTTGTGTGCTAAAGGTACCTCATCTTGAATACCTGTACGCAGCTTTACCGTAACTGGAAAATCCATGACCTAAAAATTTATATATATTTTAAAGGAGAATTAATTAATTTATAAAAAATAACTTTTAATTTAATTATACTTACTCTATCCATTCCTCTAAATATTTTACCAAGCTTTCCATCATGCTTTAAAAGAGCTGTTCCCGCTCCCTAAATATATAAATCCATGAAATCCATAAAAATATAAAATTATAATTGATTTCTTCTTTCAAACCTTATTAAAAACGATATCAATTGGACATCCAAGATTAACATCCACAAAATCAACCTCAACTTCATTATTCAATAATTCGGCGCATTTAACCAAATGTTGAACTTTACATCCACAAATTTGTACACCAAAAATATCCTCACTAACGTGTCGTTTCATTAATGCCCATTCACTTTGTTGACCTTGAAGTATATTCGTGGCCATGGCCATTTCACCGCATGTAATATCGGCCCCAAATTCTTTACATATACGACGGAAAGGAAGGTTTCCAACTGTTGTAAGTGGAGCGAGATATAATTTATCTTTGAATGAAATCTAAATATATATATATATATATATATATGTATGTATTCATAATTAAATTTGATAAATATTTATATAATTATTAATAATAATAAAATTTCACCTTTTTCTTTTCGCACGATCGTAATGGAACATCGGGAGTATAAACAGATGCTTCAATGTCTGCATCTAATAAGTTATTTGAAGTTGTTGAATCTGTTATAGAATCTGTTATAGTTGATTCATTATTTTCTTTTTTATCTAATTCCACATCAAATTTTGTTTCTTTTGATTCATTTTGAATTATTTGTGAAGAAATGC